TTGTTTTTTTTTTTTTTTTTTTTTTCAGTAGAACCATAAAGAAGATTTTTTAGCTCAAACTGTGGTCCTTGGTGGTACTTTAAGAGTCAAAAAAGCATATCAGGCAACACAAAATTAACACCTATGGCTCCTGATGATATATATAGAGGTCTTATGAAGCAAAACAATCAGTCTGTGCAGTAAACTGAACATTATTTACAACATTATTACCTGTAATCCTCTGGCAAACAGGGAAATCTGATTATTTTCCATGAACTGGTTCTTTCAGACAGTTTGTTTCAATGAACTGCCTAATATTTTTCTGTAAGCAGTGATGCATTTTATTTTTCAGGATTCACAGATGAATAGAAAGTTCAAAAGAACAGCATTTATTTGAAATAGAAATCTACTGTAACATTATAAAAGTCTTTACTGTCACTTTTGATCAATTTAATGCGTCCTTGCTGAAGAGTATTTTTCTAAAATCTTACTGACTCTAAACTGTAGTGAATGTTTTTATTATTTGATTGATTTTATTTTGTGTTAAAGATTGATTAATATCGGAATGATCATGTTTGAGATGCACAAGTAAACAGATCCTCCTCTGTGGCAGAGATCTTTTGCTCACTCACTTTAAAAGAAAAAAGTCCGCAATTAAAAAAAAGAAAACGACACATTTCCAATCATGTCACTTTTTTTATTTTATTTTATTTTTTTGTTTTGGCTAGAATTTCTGATTTCCAGGAAAATAGTATTTATTTATTTAGACTGGATCAAAACCTTCACTCTTGTTCTGCTCTCTTTGGCATGAAAAGCCACACACTGATTGGTTCTCCTGCAGGCCGGTGCGAGGGAGCGTGAGCTGGCGTCGTTCCTGATGGAAGTGTCCGCTCTGGACTATGATCTGGTCCACGTTCCTCCGTCTCTCACTGCTGCGGCTGCATTTGCAGCGTCTCGGAGGATTCTTGGCTCTGGCCTGTGGGTGAGGCCTTCTCTTGCCCTCATCCTTCAGCTGTGTATTTGTCATTAACGTGGTGCTCGGTGTGAGAGTGGTTGATCTGCATGTGTAAAACGCTCTGCAAAGCACACGTCTGTTTGAGTATTAAACCGGCGTTTAGGGAAGCCTGTGAAATATTGAAAGTAATCCACTGGCAGTGAAACCATGTGAACGTTTCATCTTGAATCATGACTGTTTGGCAGAGCGCGAGTCTGCAGCATTACACCGGCTACAGCGAGGAGACTTTAGCTCCGGTGATGCAGGCCGTCGTACGGACGCTGGAGAAGGTTTCTGACCAATGCAAGGTGAGACCAATCTCATGGAGATGATGAACGCTTAAACATGTGGTATGCATTTCTCTTCTCATGGCTCTTTGATGCATTGCTTTTGTTGTTCTGATGTAAGTTGCTTTGGAAGCATCTGCTAAATGCATGAGTGCTTTCCTCCTCAGTTGCAGGAGATTAAGAGCAGGTACGTGAAGGTTTCTTCAAGCATCTGCAAGGTCGACGGATTCCCCAGTGATCTTTGGCGCAAAGATCGGTTTTAGTTTTGAGGCACTTGAAAAGTTTTTAGGCACTTAAATTGATTTGTATCCGGTTTTAATTATGCCTTTTAATCCCATGATTTTGTTGCATAAAATGTATTATATCAAGCTAAAGTTTCTATACTATGCTGTACGAATGAAAGCCAGAGAATGAACTGATGTATTTACGTAAATGTAAGTCTGCATTTGATACCGAGACCGTCAATAAATGAGTATTCATTTGATTACAAAACCCATGCAATTGTATTTTCTTCAAACCAATTTTAGTCTAAAACTAGTGCAAATAAACGACTGAATTGGGGTCCAGGGTCTTTCATTTGTGGACTATTTACTGTGACGGCGAATCAAACTGAGCAAATTAAATGTGTGACTCTCTCGGGATCGTTGAACTGCAGGACACTGGTGTTAAAGAGAACTATTACTTCATAAAGCGCCACAACAGTGTGTCCCTGGCTCCTGTAACTAATGTGTGTCTGTGTCTTAGTTCGCACACACATACAGCAAAGAGTGTTTACTGCATGCCGGGGTTTAATTAGGAAATGCAGCAGGATTTGTAAATGTTTTCATTTCTCATCTTAAATGACATTGCTTTTCACGTTTCTGAAGCAAGGACTTTGAATGTATTCGAACAGACTGATGCGCACACATTTGGATTGGGTTTGTTTTTGTAAAAGCATTGGGATTTTGTCATGCAAAAGGATGTTTCCGCTGCTGTCCAGGTGTTCATTTGCACATCTGACAGACTGCTGGCACACAATGAGAATCTCTTACAGGTGTTTAAGTGTCTACTGACCTGAAGAATGAACTCTGGAATGTTTTATTCACCAACACTCTTCAAGATTCAAGGCTTTTATCTTGTTAGGCCACATTAGAATATTTTAATCTTTTCTGCCTCTTTCATTGCAAATGCCTGTAACGCTGATTTTTAACTCGTGTTCTGGTCACTTTGACCTGGAGGGGGTTTTCTGCTTCCAGAAAATGCTAGTTGATGTTCGCATTTGAGTAAACCTACTGACTTTGCTCACACAGTGTATCAAAACTTCCCGATAATTTTTGTACCTTTTTGCCTTTTTATTTGACCCCACTTTGTTACACTTGAGGCATTTCCAGACAAAAAAGACCGGCCTACAAAAAATAGCCTGAAAATCTCCTGTTATGCTTTATCTTTTAATCTTGGATTTGGTCTCTTTATCAGCGTGTTTTCTTTCAATTAGCACAGGTTTTGATTGATCGTAGGCCTCATTGATCTGAGCATTTGCAGCAGTTTTTGAGTGAATATTGATATAATTATCCACAATTTTTTTTCCCACTCAAAAGCTGAAATGCATGAGCTCAGATCAATGAGACCCACGATCAATCAAAACCTGTGCTAACTGAAAGACAATTTGATAAAGAGATTAAATCCAATATTTGCTGATAATATAGCATAATGAGAGATTAACAAGCAATTCCTAAAAAACAAACAAAAAAACTGGTCATTTTTGACCGGGACTGTTTAAGAACCTGTAATGCAACATGCAGAATGAATTGTTGAACACTGGTTGCTGTAGTGCAAAGAACTTTAGGTCAAAAATAGGGTGAAGTCAGCAAAATGAAATGAATGCAGACAGCCAAGTCATCAAATAGGCTGTGAGAAATGCGCAATAATAGCACCACAAGTACAACACCAGAAATCAGTGCGCGTTTCCATTTTTAAGAAAAACAGTGTTTTTGACTTTTTTTTTTTTTACTGGCAAAACACCAGCCACAGCACTATCCCGAGCATCTGTTTGTCACTGCAAAGTTTTCTGATGCACTAGTTAACCCTCTGTGGTGCAGAGTTGCCATATGGCAACAATTAATTTCTACTCATTTCCTTGTTATTCTGGGAAAAAATGATATCCAGCTGAAGAGCAATCAACCATAACTTCAGGCGAGCAGGCTCAGAAGTTGGGAATACGTGGAAAGTCACCACTCCCGAATGAGTTCGCGTGAGGGAAAGTAATCTTTTAGTTTTAAGTCGGTTTGAACAATCCGGATAAGCGCAAGTAAGCACCATTTTGATTAGCTGTCGTACCTACAATGACTGACGTATACGTGCGAGAGATCACTTCCGGCGCTTGCGTAAACTACGCCAGAGCGCGTACACACCTCACGCACCGGATGCCGTGCGCGCGCCCAAAGACAGTTGGACATAGTGGTGTATTAGAGGTAAAATATGATATAAATACTGTTCGGTTTCTGGCACAAACCGATCGTTTCGTGTCTTAGGACATCAATGTGTCGTCACGAGCCGCAGGATTTAATTTGGATTTGTCTGTGCATGTTTTTTTTTACACTCAGATTTTGTTACTATTGCCATGCATTATACGACTGATAGACTGCAATTAAAAATCATCATATGTGTTCTACTGAAGAAACAAAGTCACCTACATCTTGGATGCCCTGGGGGTAAGCAGATAAACATCACATTTTCATTTTTGGGTGAACTATCCCTTTAAGGTAGTCAATGATGTGCTGTTTTTAAGCCACATTATATTTAAATGTCAGTCCAAACTCTTTTTCTCCACTGTCATCCTCACACAGAACACCTGTTGAAGTGCAGAAATTGCTCTGTTAACCTAATTTCTAAACATCTTCTCAAAGGAGATTTTTTTTATTCACAATTTAACTTTATCTAACATAGTTTTACTGTAAATTAAAAAAATAAAAATAATAAATGTTTCCATATGGCAAAGCTGGACCACAGTAGAATTGCAGCAATGTATTTTCCCATTGGGATTTTTTTTTTTTTGTACAGTTAGTAGCGTCAATAATATGATTGCAGTTATTTATTTATATGAAGTGTTTATTGTAGTATAGTTGTATTTATATATAACAAATATTTCTTTAAAAAAAAAATGAATACAGCAATATTTTACAGAAAGGCCGATAAGAAGAGTGCAGAGTTAGCTCGTCTATGTGATAAGTGTGAGGAAGAGTTAGCCTTAAGATGATAGGGATCTACTTATTTTCGCGCACAATTCAATACGTTTCTGAAAAAATCCTTGCTTTCTCGTGTGTTTCCAGTGTCAGAGTGCACCGACAGGTGGCAGTGAGTATCTCAGGTAGAAATTCCCAATATATCCCAGCAGCGGCTCAGGCGGTTCAGCTGTCACACACACACACACACACACGCGCAGAGAGCGCAGAGTTTCTCCAAACAGAAAGTGCTAGAGTCGGTGAACGGGAGCCACAGCAGCACTCGGATTAATCTCGTATCGGAGTCGTGAGCGATGCGCTGGCAGCATGGCCAGATGGTTCAAGGAGCACCTGGGTTTCAAAACCACCAAAGCCCCGCCACCAGCGCCTCCGACACCGGACTACCGACACTTCCACACCGCCGTCTCCAGCCTCCAGACGCCGCCGGGCACCGGGTTACTGTCCGCGCAGCCCGACATCCTCACCGCCTACAAACTCCAGAAGGAGCTGGACTTCGAGGATCCGTACACGCCGGGCGGAACCGTGCCCTTCTCCACCGGACTGAGTTCCGCGGCGGAGGTCAAGTACGTGTCTCCGAAGCACCGGCTGATCAAGGTGGAGGCGGTCAGACCCCCCTGCTCCCCGCCCGCTGACCCCGAGAACGGCTCGCAGGAGAAGGTAAGAGCGCTCACCTCCGCAGGTAAACGCTAGCCGAGGGCACCAGATTGGGTCACACTTTACAATAAGGTGCCATTTGTTAACATGAGTTAATGTATACATGAACAAACTATGATCAATACATTTATTACACTATTTATTCATCTTTGTTAACGTTAGTTAATACACATACAGTCGTTAGTTCATGTTAGTTCATAGTGCATTAACTAATGTTAACAAACACAACTTGAGATTTTAATAATGCATTAGTAAATGCTGAAATTAACATGTTTTATTAGATTGTGCTGGGTTTAACGCATTGAGAATTGTTTTTTTTTATTCAGTTGACTCTTTTGAAGAGATTTTTAACAGAGTTGAGCCAAATACAGTTTTGGAGTTTTTAGCAAAAATAAATGATAAAAACATGATATAATTCAGCCATACTATTTCTGGAAGCTGGAATGGCGTTAAACACAAACAAACAAACAAACAACGGGACACAGGAGCATCACTCCATCTACTTACATATGCCTTATATGCTATTCATATAACATCTTAAAACATATTTAGATTTTTACTAACTTGTTTTCAATTCGTTTTGTTTAGAAATGTATTTTTAATAAATCGGATTTATATTTATTTTTAATTATTTTTTGTTCATTTTATGTAGTGTTTTAGTAAAACCTTTTTTTAATTAAATGTTTTGTTTTATTAATGTTTTATTAATTTGTGACCCTGGCCCACAAAACCAATTTTCAATAAATAAGCTCTCCATTGATGTATGGTTTGTTAGGATAGGACAATATTTGAAAATCTGGAATCTGAGGGTGCAAAAAAATCTAAATATTGAGAAAATCATCTTTAAAGTTGTTCAAATGAAGTTCTTAGCAATGCAAGGAAGATATTTTACATTAACCTAATGAATCAAAAACACAAATGTCATGAATGCACACAGCCGAGTCATCAAATATGGGAAATGCGCAATAATAGCACACCAGAAATCAGTGCGTTTCAATTTTTAAGAAAAACAGGGTTTTTGAATTCATTAGATGAAGTGATTCATTAGATCAAAAATTAAGTTTTGATATATTTACGGTAGTAAGTTTACAAAATATCTTCATGGAACATGATCTTTACTTAATATCCTAATGATTTTTGGCATAAAAGAAAAATTTATAATTTTGACCCATACAATGTATTGTTGGCTATTGCTACAAATATACCCCAGCGACTTAACACTGCTTTTGTGCTGCAGGGTCACATTTAGTACAAGTTAAAAATAAAAATTTAAGAATACATTTTTTTTCATATTTATATTTAAACATTTACCGGTATTGTCATCACAGTGTGAAAATATTTGACAATAACATGGTTCACACATTCTGGCATACTTTGTGAGGGTAAAGGCCATGCTTTAGCAGAGAAGGTCTGCGTCAAACCGGTCAAACGAGTTGTTTTATGTGTCCACAGCGGTTATGAGCTGTTACCGACATCCAGAAACACAGTCCCTGGGTCTGAGTTTGGGTTTGACTGCTGTTAACATCCATAAACATCTGCAGAACTTTTATATGGCTTTTGGCTATTCTTGATATTTTAGGAATTATAGAGTCATTATAGTGCCCATCTATGTTATATTGCTTTCCATATTTTCTGGGTGAGAATGGTTTTTAGACATTCGTTACCATTGCTCCAGAAGGTGGCTGTGCTTTAGATTCGTCCCAGATGCGAATCAAACCACGCAGGATGAAAATGACCTCGCAGAGGTCAACAGTAATGGTGACCTTTGACCTCCAGTGGAAGTCAGTCATTTGCCCCCTAGAGTCTTAATGACTGTTTTTAACCTGATAAAGTGATACATTTTATGGTGTGATCAGTGGAAATCTGAATGCGTGCACATCTTCCTCCGCGCTTCATTCCTGCCACACCTTACGCTCTCAGGTGAGTGATATGATGCAAGCGCAGAATGCACGCTTCAGACAGTGATGTTATGCAGTGCACACATGTTTATCTTCAGTCAGGTGCATACTACAGCTTGCTGTCGCTGTCATTCTCGTTCTTGCGGAGCTGATCAACGTTTCAAGCCTTCTTGGGCTGCCTGTCAAACACAGACAACAAGCAACGGACTCATCAATCCTGGTAAATACTGCAGCTTCTGCGCGGTCTAATTAAAAGCTGCAGTCGCTCAGAGAGTGTTGTTTGTGCTGGCCAGCTCTCTTATCAAATGCTGTTTGTCCCGGTTTCTGAATTACAAGGTTGTTGAAGGAAGAGATACACTCTTAAAAAGGTTCTTCACAGTGATGCCATAGAAGAACCATTTGTGCTTCCACAAAGAACCTTCTTTCGCCACAAATAACTTTTTGTGAAACAGAAAGTTTCTTTCAGATGTTAAAGGTTCTTTATGGAACTATTTAGACAAAAAAAGGTTCTTCTATGGCATCGTGAAGCACCTTTATTTTTAAGAGTGTACTGCATATATTACAGCTGCTGGTAAATGTCGTAACTCACCATGTGCTTCCACTGATGGCCATTTTAAAGTAGCTGCGTGTTTAATGTACAGTATATGCTAAAGAAGTGTCTTCTGCTCACCAAGGCTGCATTTATTGAATCAAAAATACAGTAAAAATGTGAAATATTTTAATAATTTAAAACAGCTGTTTTCTATGTGAATATCTGTTAAACTGTAATGTATTTCTGTGATGCGCAGCTGTATTTTCAGCATCATTACTCCAGTCTTCAGTGTCACATGATCTTCAGAAATCATTCTAATATTCAGTTAAATGTATGACCCTAAAAATGAAAGGGATACTTCACCCAAAAATGAATGAATGATGCTGTTAATTTACTCACGCTCAGGCCATCAAAGATTTTTTAGCTGAAACCGTGCTCCTTGGTGATTCATAAAATGCAAGTCATTGGCTTCCGGCACTTTTTTAGAGTCAAAAAAAATATCAGGCAACACACAATTAATATGCGTGTCCCCTGATGATATAATGAGGTCTTATGAAACTAAATGAACATTATTTACAGTATTGTTACTGTAATCCAGAGCCTGATGGGGGAATCTGATTCTTCTCCATGAACTGGTTCTTTTAGACGGTTCGTTTCAAACCGACTCACTAGTTTATGTAATCACACAATGACATAACATACGCAATTATATTATTAAAGCACCCAATAATGATGTGAAACGTGGATGTTTTACAGTCTGAAGCATATAAAGTAAAGAAACTAGTCTTTAGTTTTGATTGAGTAACTTGTAGATCTGTGCTGCTCGAGCCGCGAACTGATTCAGACGCTTCAGTCCGATTTGGTGAACTGATTCATCTAGAATGATTCGTTCATGAAGCAGACACCGTTCGCCTGAGGCTCTGGATTACAGGTAATAATGCTGTAAATAATGTTCAGTTTCTTGCACAGACCGATCGTTTCGCTTCGTAAGACCTCCATATATCATCAGGAGCCACAGAGATTCACACTCTAAAACAAATCTGTTTCTCACCAGAGATATAACCTCGGAATTTAAAGAAAAAAGTCAGAATTTTTAAATATAAACTCAAAATTACCTTTTTTATTCTTTTATTCCATGGCTTGCATAGACTGCTATGTTTAAACTGGCATTTTCTGCCACCAGATAGGCTCCGCCCACAAAAACGTCATCACTGTTTGCAAACACTGAAATTGGTCTATTTAGTGTTCGCAGGCATCATAGATTGGTTATCTGCGTGGGAACGTCATCATTATGCTCCGTCCGTCGCGGTGCTTCTGCTTTATCGACCGCTGAGGCTGAGACACACGTAACCTGCTAGTGCTTTGAAAAGGCCAACTAATGTCTTAATTACTTGACAAGTGGATGATAATTATGTAAATGCTTTCCTAATGCTCGGAATGCCAATATCTTTTGCTCTATCTTGATTTTAAAACCACTGCAGCGTTCAGTCATTGCTTTAGTTTGTTCAGTATTGCAGGGGATTCTCAGGACAGGAAGAATTGACTGAAATATTTAGTCAGATTTAATCTATATAATTCACATTTCCAATGCATTCGGTTCCTTTTTAAGAGTACGTTTTGCAAACCCTTCACATTCATGTTTGTACAAATGGCTTGGAGGCGATGCTTCCTACTTTTGAATTTGAGCGAATATTAGAAGTGCTGTTAGCACTAACCTAGAATTCAGTATTTACCAGCTTTAGAGTGGCTCATCCAATCAGATTTTAGGGCTTGAGCTATCCTTTTTATCATTATTTTTTATCATGGTTACATTGTACAGACTTTGCTGCATTTAATTTAGTGTTGTCAAAAGTGTCAGTACTTTGGTACCAAGTCATAAATGTGAGGATCTAACTGTGTCTGTTTAGCGTGTGAACGTACTATCCAATCAGAGGCATTTAAAGGGACAGTTCACCCAAAAATGCTCATTCTGTCGTCGTCTGCTCACCCTCATGTTGTTCCAAACCTGTGTGAGTTTCATTCAGCTGTTGAACACAAGAAGAAGATATTTTGAAGAATGTTGGAAACCAAGCAGTTGCTGGCAGCCATTGACTTCCATAGTATTTTTGGACTATCTTGGTCACCGATATTCTTCAAAATATCTTGATATTTTAAAACCGTGTTTATGTATAAATATTTAAAGTCTACATCGTTTTAAAGTATCATTTACTTATTACCATTATTAATAAACTCATTTAAGTTTTTTAAACAGTTAAACTAGTTAAATGGATTAAACATTCTTTTCTGGTTTCTTTTTTTCTACTGAAACTGTTTTAAGCATGAAATTTTACTGCATTGATACTGACTACTGAAATATTGGTATTGTGGCAACACAGATTTATTATAATTAAAACCTAAGCAGTGAAATATGGTAAGCTGACACGTTCGCTTATGATTTATTTGTTGTTATTGTGTTTTTGTTGTTGCGATCAGACCTTCTCGGCTGAGAGCGTTTGTAGATGATCAATTATTGTTTCAAAGTAGTGCTAATTAACAACACCCTCCCAGCACACACACACACACACACACACACA